GGAACTGCGACTACGAGTGTTTTGTTTTCTAAGACAGTCTCACTGCAGCCTAGATTCCCCAGTGCTTGGATTACAGATGTGAGCCGATGGATGTGCCTGACCTTTTATCCTGAGGAACCATCTATTTACAGAAGGATCAAACATAATCGTGCACCAAACAATCTAAGCTATGGTGTCTGCCCAACCCACCAAGTTTCTTTCCTAATAATAGCAAAAGACACTTCTGATGCTTTGAAATCCATTGTGCACTACAAAGATGCATATGTCAGATTGAGGAGTTATCTCAGAATACATTGAAACTATCTATTCAATTTTAGAGTTCATCTCCACCCAGCTTTCATTAAGAGAACTCTTCAAAAATAAGACTTTCACTATGATACAAAACAAACAAACAAAAAAAAGGCACCTAAATATGGCGGTGACTGCGCAACTTAAACTGTATACATACAGTGGGTGAATTTTATAAACTGTGTACATATAGTGGGTGAATTTTATGATATATTAAATTATCCTTCAATAAAGTTGATTTTCAAAATTGCCCATGACCTCTTTTCCCATGTGGTTGTGTCATTCCAGTTATTTTTAAATAACAGACTTTTCACAGAATGGAATTTTACACATTGTTTCCCTTACCACCACTTTTTATTTACTTAATATATATTTATGCTAGACCGTATTCTAGATCACTCTCATCAGGATTGATTTATGAAATTGGCTGAATTTGGGATAATTATTTTTTTTAAAAACAGAGTTAATGCTGATTAATTAAAGAAAAGAGAGAACTCCCAAGGGGGTGGCTCCAAGTAAGGAATACCTACACACACAGGGTTTCTCTGTGTAGCCCTGGCTGTCCTGGAACTCGCTTTGTAAACCAGAATGGCCTCAAACTCACAGAGATCACCTTCTTCTGCCTCCCAAGTGCTGGAATTAAAGATGTGCGCCACCACTGCCCTGCCCAAAATCTTTTTCTAATGAATGATATAAGCATTCACTTAGCAGTCAGTACTTCTATTGATGTCTTTAATTATTTCCTGTGAATCCATCTTGCCATTTTAAATTGGTCACTGTTGTAGTAAAAGGTAAGAAAGTAGTAATATTTAATACAGTGTAGTGAAAATTGTAGCAGTATAATGGAGAAAGCACAGTGGACAGGAAGTCAAGAAGAACATTAATTCTCTTTCCAGGTTTCCTTAAAGAAGGCTCCAAGTAGGGTTTCTTTTGATCTGGGCTTCAAAAAGGAAGACTATATAGGGAACAGGGCTGATCCTTTCAGGCCATACTAAATAATTTGTTTAAGTCTTGCATTTGTGCAAATAGCTTATCCCTACTGCATTCTCAATTGAGGGAGAAGGGAGAAGCAAGACAAAGAGTTTTGTTTTGGCAGTGGTGACTCAGTTAATTGTCCTCAGCCATCCTGTGAGACTACACTATTATTTCTATTTTACAAATAGACATTGACTCACCAAGACTGTAACATTAAAGAGCTAAGGCCCTTTGGCTCCACTCTGCTCTAAACCATTACATCCAAGCTGCCCAGTTGCTTTGTGTGCCCTGTCAGTTGATAAAGCTGATTTCAGGAAACATTATTTCATCAAGCTTTTTGTTTTTTTGTTTTTGTTTTTTCCTCGAGGCAGGGTTTCTTTGTGGCTTTTGAACCTATCCTGGAACTCACTTTGTAGACCAGGCTGGCCTCGAACTCACAGAGATCCACCTGCCTCTGCCTCTTCAGTGCTCGAATTAAAGGCATGCACCACCACTGCTCGGCTCATCAAGCTATTTTTTTAGTCTATTAATTATTTGTGAAGAGAGGGGCCTGCATGCCATGGCTCACAGATGGTTGGCAGAAGACAACCTGCAGGAGTCAGTTCCCTTCTTCCACTCTGAGTCCCTGGGATTGAACTTAGGTCATCAGGCTTGACAGCAAGTGCCTTTACCCACTGAGCCATCTGTCTGGCCCCAAGCCACCACTTAAGAAATTTTTAAAAAGAGAGGTGCTGGAGAGATGGCTCAGCAGTTAAGAGAGCTTACTAGTCTTGTGGAAGACCTGAGTTTGGTTCCCAGCAACTACTTCAGGAGGCTTACAACAGCCTATTTCTTTAGCTCCAAAAGAGTCATGGCCTCTACATGCACCTGAACTCACATATACATACCATCCACGGCACACATAAAACAATTAAAACTAAAATTAAACGGGGGTCATAGTAGTGCACAACTTTAATTCCAGCACTTGGGAGGCGAAGACAGGCAGTTGAGTTGGAGGCTACCCTGGTCTACAAAGTGAATTGTAGGACAGCCAGGGTTACACAGAGAGACCCTGTCTCAAAAAAAAAAAAAATCTTTAAAACAATAAAAAGTGTGGTCGCACATTTTTAATGTCAACACATGGGAAGCAGAGCAGGTGGATTTCTGAGTTCAAGGCCAGCCTAGTTTACATAGAGGTTTCCAGGACAGCAAGGGCTACATAGAAAGACCCTGCCTCAAAAAAAAGTAAATAATCTGTTTTAGAACATTCATTCTGATATGGTTTGATAGAAAAGACTGAAATCATGAAAGCCAACATCTCCCCTCTGGGCTCATATGAGATTCTATACGTGTGTGTGTGTGTGTGTGTGTGTGTGTGTGTGTGTGTGTGTATACATACACATTCTACATACTCACAGAGATTCCCTCCCTCCTCTTTTTTTTTTTCCCTCAAGACAGGGTTTCTCTGTTTAACAGCCCTGGCTATCCTAGAACTAGCTGTGTAGACCAAAATGGCCTCAAACTCACAGAGATCCACCTCCCTCTGCCTCCTGAGTGCTGGTATTAAAGGCATGCACCACCACCGCCCAGCAGAAAAAAAGAGTTTTATTTGTACAGTTGTTTTGTCAGTGCATATGTCTGTGTGTGTGGTGCCCATGGAGGACAGAAGAGGGCATTAGATCTCCTGACAGATATTTGTGAGCCTCCACCAGAGTGCTGGGAACTGAACCCAGATCCTATAAATAGCAGTAAGTGCTTTTAACGGCTGAGTCATCTCTTCAGCCCTGACATCTCTGTTTTAAGTACTGTAACTTTTAACAGTATTTTTTATGTGTGGTGGGGGGCATGCAGACACTATGCCATGTGTAGGAACAACCTTGTGGAAGGATTTTCTCCTTCCTCTTTTACATGGATTCCAGGGTCCAAACAGGTCAAACCATCTCATCAGGCAAATGACTGAAACTTTATAACACTGTTACCCAATATGATCAAACCTCTGATTGCTGCTCAGGGTGTACTGGCTTGTTTTGACCTTTTTTTTTTTTTCTAAATAAATAAATACGTTTTAGAATTAGGTTGGTCATATTCAAGAAAAAACTTTACTGGTATTTTTCCCCCCATTGGAATTTCACCAACTTAGTGTCAAAAGAGGACATATTTACAACATAAAGTCTTTCTGGCTATCGTTTTATGATGTCTCATTTATATTGGCCTTCTTTCATATCTGTTAAGAGTCTTGTTTGGTTCTGGTTTCTGTGCTGGGCTTGAGCCCAGGGCGTTGAGCATGCTAAGTATGTATTCTACCACTGACCTACACCCCAGTCTTTTAGTATTGCAATGTTATCCAGGCCAGCGTCAGACTTGTGATTTCTCTACTTGGCCTCCCAAGTAGCAGGCACATACCACCGTGTTTGGCTGTAAGAATGTTACATTTAGGTCTTCCATACATATTGAAATGGTGCTTATGTAACTCTGTCCTTCAGTCTGTTTCTCTTGCCTAGAGTTTCCTATTGCAAATGTCACAGTCTCTGTTGTACTCTCATACTTGATACCTTCATTTATTCCTTTACTCAATTAAATAGACTTTCTAATAACTCCAAATTTCATTTGATTCTGTTCTTTGTTTTACAACTTATTCTGGGTTTCTACATGTGTGCTTTGTGATTTATTTTTATATGTATGTGCAAGTGTATCTTAAAACCTATTTGTGGTTTTCTGTTTTGGTTTTGTTTGTTTGTTTGTTTGTTTTGGATTTTCAAAACAGTTTCTGTAACAGCTCTGGCTGTCCTGGAAGACACTCTGTAGACCAGGCTGGCCTCAAACTCGCAAAGATCAGCCTGCCTCTGCCTCCCAAGTGCTGGGATCAAAGGCATGCAGCATCACCACCCTGCTTGGTTCACTTTTTCTAATATTTATTTTGTATGTGTGGGTGGGTAGTATATGTGTAGGTAGTATATGCACATTGTCGTGGCCCGGCATGTCTCAGTGCCAAACCACAGAAGCCATGAGGTCCCGCCTGAGTGGGGGAGCGTGGACTTGGAAATTCTTAGCAACCCAACGGCAATAAAGACCAGACACAGGCATCTTGTCATCTTTAGAGAGCTCTCAGTTCCATGCTGCAAAACTGGAGCCTGTCCTTTATTTCAGCATCTTCCTGGCTGATTTCTCACTGTTCTTCCCTGACCCCGAGACCATTTTTCTTCCATCTCCCTAGACTCTTATCAACAAATCCCTCTCAACAGTCTGTATTCCTGTAGACCTGGCCTCCGCCCTGGTGCAGGCCTATTCAAAATGCCTAGTTCTGTAGAGATGCAAAACTAGGGGACATTGTCCACTGAGGCTATGCCATTCAACGGCAAATCAGCTAGCATCTGCAATACAATGCAGACTGGATACTGGAACTGTTTGGACCTCGAGAAATTCTCTAATGGAATTGTCCTAGGCTCCAGACTGCACATGTATGTGCTGATATGTACATGCAGAGGCTAGAGGAGGATATTGAGTATCCTGTTTTATAA